ACAGATTCGCTTTCCTGAGAATTATTAATTGGATGTAAATCTTTTTTTATATCCTTGCGCATGGTAACAGAAACATTTGATTCTTCAGGTTTTACAAAGATATCAGAATTATTTGATACTTTAATATCCTTAGCAGAATCTTCTTTAATATTTTTTGTTATCTCCAAAGTTTTATGTTCATCCTCTTTTGTTTTTTCTGTTATTACATTTTTAGTACTGAACAAATCATCATAGTCATCATCCTCAAAAATCAACCCATGTGATCCAATAGTAGTAGAAAACAATCCATTGCTCGAAAGAATATCACTACTTTTATTTTCACTTTTTTCAACTTTCTGATCCACGATATCTATTCCGGACGCAGCCATTTCTGGCGGTTCTTTATCATTCTCTTTCTTTTTATCAATCGGTTTTTTTATGGAAAACAAGTCATTTTCATAATCGTCATTAAAAATATCAGATTTATTTATAATTTCACTTTTAATAGATTTCACACTTTTAATTGAGAATAAATCGTTATCTTCGATATCATTATCAAACAAGCTGATTTCCTTCGATTTAGCAACATTCTGACTTTTTTCCAACCCGTTACTTTTCGTTATTGTATCTCGAATACTATTTGTGAACAAATCATCATCAGGAATGTCCAAAAACTTTTTATTAGAAGCATTATTTTCCTCTTTGGCTATCGGTTTTGCTATTATACCAAATATATCAACATCTGGCGAATCCTTATTATCGAATATGTTGATTTCTTCGTCAAAAAGACCTCTTCGTTGCGTGGACTTGATCTTGTCGGAATACTGAGATGTGGTTAATAAATCACTGCTTCTTTGTGACCTTGAACCCGAACTGGTTGTCGAAAATAATTCATCACCAGAATCGGAATCGTCAAATAACGAAGGTATTTTCGATTTCGGCAGTTTTGAATCTGCTTTTGGTAGCGGAGGTGGACCAAACAAATCCTCATTTTCGAACACATCGTCCTGTCGTATAGACGATATATCCTCGATAGACTCGACCTGAGGTGGATTATTCGTCGTATTTGAGATCGAAGTTACAGGATTATGTGTACGTGCAGTGAAGAGACTGTCACTAGTAATTCGTTCCCGATAAATTTCTTCTGATTTTAAACGCGTTGATGACATCCGAGGCTCGATACTGTAACAAAGTTGTAAAAATTAGAATAAGAATATGAAATACTATATTAAAACAAAATATGTTAGTGAATTTCTTTCCATTCTTTTTTATTTTTTTTTTTGTTTTTTTTTTATTTTAAATGGTTTGCTTCCTATTTCTCATTTAATCTCATATAATCATTTTTTTTAGAAATTATTTATGCAAATTGGAAAACTGTTATTTATAAAGTAATGATAGAAATATTAAGAATAATATTAAGTATAAATAATAGATTATCAACGGCGATATATATATTACTTACTTGATTATAAATGAAAATAAATATAATTAAAAAAAATATTGTATGCAGAATATATGCATACAACATACTAGTTAGAAATGAGATACAAGCAAACTAAAGGAGCTTGCCTTGAGCTCGCGCATGTACTTGATATAATCATTGCAATGTAATGAGGGATGACTAATGTTTGGATCATCAATTCAATGATACACAACATACATATTCGTTTTTTATGCATAAAAAAATAAAAAGAGAAAGATAATATAAATTTTAATAAAATAAAGTTAGTAAAATAAAATTTATCAAATATGACTAAATAAAATAGTAATATTAATTTTTAATAAGTAATATTATAATTCATAATCTATATCTAATTTATTTATTATATACATGATGTATATGATTTATGTGATGATTTATTAATTTACTTAATCTTACCTAATATATAATTTTACGTAATAGTAGTAATAAGATTAATACTTACTCAATGCTTGAACCACCTGTATTATTAATACTTGGTGGATAAATCGATATTCCGCTACTATAGTTACTTTCATTAAACATGGCTGAATTTTCTATGTTATTCACAATAAATTCATTAATATTATCGTTCGAAACAATATTCCGTGAATGATTATGTACTGATTCGTTGTTAATATTATTTTCATAATTTGCTGATGTATTACTTCCAGAAGATCCGGATGAGTGATTTCGCAATATTCTATTTGATAACTTATTCTCAACATTTGAAGTTAAACTACTTCCAGATATTGATATTCCTTCTATTGATTTCTAAAATATCGTACAAAATATTAATTTTATAATTTCATTAGAAAATTTATAAATAAAATACATATTATTAATGATAATTATTTTATGACTTTACTTTTTTATTTGACTCTTGGTTTTTAGATGGTCCAAAGAGATCAACAATATCTTCATCATCGCTAAATAAATTATTAGTATTTACGGCAGTTTCAGGTGTACTTGTAGCCACGTTACTAATTACTCTTGGTGCAACAGTCTCTAAACATTTTTTTTGCATATTTTCTGTATTTAATTGATTATTATTATTATTAGAATATTTATTTTTTGTAATTATATTTGTTATATTTTTCGGCGAGAAAATATCATCGGGTTCAGTATCAGCAAAAAGATCATCTATTGCAGATTTAGGTTTTGTCGCTAAAAATATAGATTTTTCTTAAACATCTTAAAGACAAAATATATAAATTGCAAAAAAATAACTTACAAATAGTACTAATAGGAGGTGGTACATCAATGCTAGCAGGTATAATATTTTTGCATGATTTAATATATCTTTCTTTTGATAAATTTTCAATAGATTGATCATTTAAATATCCTTTATTTCCACTAAATATAATTCTGGATTTATCATTTAAAATGTTCTCATCTTCTTCTGGTGTAAATAAATCATCTAATAAAGAAAATAGATAGATAAAGATAGATTAGATAAATTAGATTAAATAGGTACATTAAATATCAATAAAAAAAATATAAATTAAATTTATTATTTACCTTTAAATCGATTTATTGATGCCTCATTTTTTTCATTTACAATACCTGGTTTTTGAGCCTGTCGAACTGTACCTAATCGTTTAGCTAATTCTTCTGCAAAATTTGGTGTTATATTGTTTGGTAATGATGTCTAAAATATATTATGAATAACATTATAACATATACAATAAAAAATCATTTATAAAAATATATATTAAAAAAAAAGAATAAATAAAAGAAAAAGTATAAAACCTTTGAAACATTATCATTAGGAGTAATTGATTCAGGAACAGAATCTATATTATTTTGACTAACTGCATCTATTTTTTCATTGCTTATATATGCTATATCATTTCTTTTACTATAATCTGATCCATTCAAAGAAGGTAATAATCCAACTATGTTAGTTTTTGGTATAGTATTCATACTAAAATCTTTAAATGTTGTTGTGGCATCATCTTCATTTTCTGATTCTTCTTCTTCATCTATTTGTTCAGATTCACTACTACTACTACTTTCTAAACCAATTTTATTTGAATTTTTCCATTTTTCAGAACCAATAACATAAGGCAAAGCTCGATCTTGATATGGATCATTTGGCCCCAATACAACACTGTAATTAAATTATAATTAAAGTGTAACTTCAGAAATTATTTTAATAATGAAAATTATTAAACATTTACCTTAATACTACTTTATTGTCTTCTTCTTCACTATCACTATCACTGTCAATAAATTCCATTTCCTTATATTTTTCATACATTATATTTAGGCCTTGTTTTACAGTTTCACTCACATTAGCTATAAGATCTGCATCTACAGAATCTTGATCTTTATATTGCTATAAAGTTTAGTAAAATAATGATTAAAAAGAATTATAATAAGTTAAATCTTAAAATATTTAACTACCTCAATTGATGTTTCTACTTGTTCTCCAATTTCTATATTATCTTCTTGTACACGACTTTCAATAAATTGAGTATTAGCTAAAGCTAAAGATGTATTAGTAACATTATCAATAAATATTGCTGTTTCATTTAATTGAGTTGTTAATGAATCCAAAATTTCTTGTGTTTTATTTGCTCTTGATATTACATTCTAAAAATATCATTAATAAATGTAAATCTTTCATGTATAATTTTAAATTATAAAAAAATCATGTAATAAAAGAATAAAATTAATTCATACATCAGAAAATTGTTGAAGATGTTTAAGAAGTCCTGCATCACCTGCTAGACTCCATTCTCTTCTTTTTTTTCGCATTTCTTCTGTAGTCCATGGATGATCCCATGATTTATCCATTCCATTTGATATGTCCTAGTATATTTTTATAAATATAATAATATTTTTATTATATGTATTTATTTAATACATATTTTATTAAATATTTATTAAATTTAACAAGGAAGAAAAATTTATACCATATTAATTTCTTTCCATGTGGAACAAATAACAGTAATCTTTATTATTGTTTATATTTTTTAACCTTGAAACTTGTTTTAAATTTTTTAACTGATAAATAATTATCAACATACCATCTAGTTTAATTTAGTATAACTATTACTTTTCTTTATAAATACATTTACGAAGAATATATACGTTGCATTATATTTTATCAAACTTAGTGAGGGGGAAAAAAACACCCATTTAACAGTTGGAATTATCAAGTATCGAATACTGTCACATCTATGGTATGATTTAATTCTTGTTTTAAGAGAAAACTTTCAGGAATGTATGTAAGTTAAACCAAGCCTGAGTTTTTTTTTATTTGTTATTGTTAAAAGAATATTTATATATTAAATAAAACTTTACAAAAATATTTTATATAACAAAAAATTAAAAAATTTTCATGTAAATATTTTTTTTTAACACATACTATTTATTTTTAAAGTTATAAATTATAATTTTATATTATTATTCAAAATAATATTTATATAATAATCTTTTGTTATTATATTTTTTTTTGTATCATATTATTTAAAAATTTTATATAAATATAACAAAATACATTAACATGTATTAAATTTTATGTAATAGAATAAATAGAAAGGGGTCTTTTTATTACGTTATACAATACTGGTATATACAATGTTGCCAAACCGAACAGTATTTTGGTCCGCATTCAACATTCCGCTGTTCGACCTATAGAGAAACAGTACTGTGGATTGTTTGTCAATATCTTGGAGTTAGTTGATTTTTACCAACATTTATATGTAAAGCAATTGTTTTACAATGACACAAAAAATCAAAAAAATATCCTGATTATAAACGTATCAGAGTGTTTTGTGTATATATAAAAAACATACTGATAAAATAATACTGACAAAAAGAACATCATATATGTAGTATAATGCTACTTTTATATGCAAGTGAGGAATTCCATCTGTTTCGTTAGAAAAAAGATTGTTTGAAATTTTTACATTATAAAAAATATTTAGACTTTTCATAATTAAGATTTTATTAATTATACATTATCATGGATATTTAATACAAATATCTGTTTTATAAGTGAAAAAGTAAAAATTTGTAATATAACAAAAAAAGACGGATAACCCTTATTATATAAAAAGTTCCATAAATTGGTACTTATCGGTAAGTAATTAAAAATATAACATTTTAGATTAATTTATAAAAAAATTTTTTTTATAAATTTATAAAAAAAATTATAAATTAAATCGATTTAATTTTTTAAACAATATAATATACATATAATATACACGTATGTTAATACTATAAAATTATTTATTATGTAAAAAATAACAAATTCATAATATTTGTTAAACCTTAAACCTAGAAAAAAAATCATTTGTCATATCATAATAAGAAATATAAATTTTGTTTGTTTTAGATACATTTTTAAAGATGTACCTCAGAATGTCACAACAAAGAGATATAGATGGTTTATATAATAAAAATGAATACATCCGACAATTGTGTATCTTGTTTAGTTGATGCACAGAATATTCTCTTAGGCAATTGTCTATTTTCTTTATTGCATATCTTTATTCTTGCTCTTTTGGAGCAATCTCATTGTCATAAAGTATCCAGTGTTCATAAAATCACTTTTAATGAGGCTGAAAGCACGTATAAGAAGGCAAACTCTCTTTTGAGAAGTTATAGTGTTCTACAACTGACTTTCATGAACAATGAACCATTCGGGAAGTGGAAAACGTCAGGCGAAGGTTTTGGAAGAAAACTATTGGGACTGCAGTGTCTGCACGTATAGAAATACCGCAGAAGCATTTAAGTGCCTCATGTGTGACGTCCGTAAAGGAACTTCTACGCGGAAACCCCGCATTAATCCCCAACTTGTAGCACAACAGGTTATATTGTAATATAATATTAATAATATATATAATTTTACTATAATCTTTCTATTTATCATAAATGCAATAATATAATAAGATTTTAATATATATTAAAAAATATAATTTTATTAATGTTATTTTATATATAGGTTGCACAGCAACAATACGTACCACTTTTAAAACCAGGAAAAAAAGAAGGTGGAAGTGGAGGTAGTACAACTAGTAGTGGTAAAGAAAAAGATCGTAAATTGGACAAACCAAGACGTAAAAATAGGCATCCACCCCGTCTCAAAAATATAGATCGTAGTACAGCCCAGACCAATGAAGTGACAGTAAATAATGTTACTGTCGTTATTACAGAATATAAGCCCAAAGTGAAAAAAAGTTCAGATCAATCTGGTTTATCTAGCAGTGCTTCTTCTGAAAATGGAAGTCAGCATGATTCTAATCAAGACTCTAGAAGTCTGGATATAGGAACAGATGCTTAGCTCAGTGCTATATCACATATGTGTATGAATTAATCTAATTAATATATTATATAATGTATGTCATTCTTTATGGACTATGGTCCATTATGTAGACAAAAACAACCATTTGTCTATATGTTACAGGTTACATAACATTCAATGAGGTCAGATGTTTTATGCTATCAGTGGAATCATTGAATTATGTCTTCAATATAATCTAAGAAATATGTCATATAATGTTGCTACATACTGACATCAAAATTGTCTGTTTCAATGACAGTAATCTTGACATCTAAAAGCAACAGCAAAAGTTAGTTATATTTAAATTTATTTATTTTGTAAATTTATAATCTAAATTGATATTTAATATCTAATTGAACATTTTAGATAATTTTATTTATGCAACTTTGGATATTACTTATTCTACTTAATATTATATATATTGACTGTAAAAATGCATTATATGCCTTAATATGGCAAATGGAATTTGATACATTCATTGTTGACATAACAATGTCCACGTGACTTTCATTGAATCTATAACACCACTGCCAGAAAGCATGTTGTAAGATTATTGTTAATTAGAATATTTTAACGAACTCATTTATGTATAATATGAGGTATTTAACTTGTTTATTTAATAATGACTATGACAGAGAATTAAAAAACTGGCATTGGTACGTATATACCTTGATCCCATTCCAAAATTATCTATAAATTTGATCTGTTCCAAGCTTTATATTTTAATAGCAATTAATTTCACTAATGCAAAAATCTTTAATTTAAATATACCTATACATAAAAAAATATATAATTAAATTACATAACATAGTACATAATATAAATTGAAATAGATATCATATGGTTCAATATTATATATTTTAGATAATATTTGAGTTTGTAACAAAGAATTTCATTAATTTTCATTGCTCACAATTTTCATTATGTTAAAACACAACAAATATAATTTTTATGTACTTCTTTATTGCCCACATTTTAATAGTTCTAGGATATATAGATCGAATATAATATTAATAGAAAATATTTGACCAATTTACTACGATATATTAATTTTTTTCCATAGTAAAATTATAAAAATTGAAATATTAACTATAAAAGACTATTTTCTTTTGAATTTACAGCAGAGCATAAAAGCTACAAAGCTAGCTCATATTAGTAACTGCCCAATCACTTATAACTGTGATTTATAATTCTTTTTATATTTATTTTTACATATTTTATGTTACCAGGTAAGAAATAGCATTATCAAATTAACTCAGAAAAAATTTATTATGACTGCAAGGACCATAAACAATTTGATTATTTCATGTATGAAATATTAACATGCTATAAAATCAATTCTTTTTCAATTCATGTAAAATATTTGTATGCTAGTTAGATTGAAATATAAAATGTAATTTGTCATTGAAGTTAATATTCTTTATTATAAACATAAAAGTAAGTGATACTTTTACAACCATTTATACATACAATTATTCAAGTACCAAAAAAAAAATTACATGATTATGCAATATTAAAAAAAATTTATAATATGAAATAATGAATTTTTAGTTTTTTAAAAACCACCAATTTTATAAAATTTGTAAAATAAATATCAAATTTTCGTTATAAATAGAAAGAAATTCTAATTTTTTATGTTCACAATTATATATTTAAAATATTTAAAATATTTTAATTTTAATATTTAGATTAAAAATGAAAAAGTTGGTAATATACTTTAAATTATATTATATTACATCAATATAATGTACTCTTAATCATTTTATTAAATAATCAATTTAATTAAATATATTTTATTATATTTAATATATATATAATGTATAATTTGAAAATTTATATTTTCAAATATTGTTCATTGATTTAAAAACAAACAAATTTTAAATAATTTAATAATATTTCTTATATTTTTCTGATATTGATGCATATAAATCAAAAATTTGTATCAATTATCTTAAATGTGTAACAAATATGTTAAAATATAATTGGATTTGTGTGCTGTAAATTATCAGAACAAAATTACTATGTTGTACAAATGTCAAATTGTAAAACTTTCGAAAAATACTGTTGAAATTAACATTATATTATTACAAGAAAAAATAAATTACATGTTTTAACAAGAAAACGTACAAATATTTATAGCCTTTTAAATATGTATGTGTTTTTCAAAATTTTATTTGTATAAAAAATATTTACAAGTTATAGCCTTGAATGTATGTAAAAATACACGTGTATTAAAAATTTAAAAATTCTTAATACATGTGCACATTTTGCAAACTTAATATCCTAATTTATATTTTATAAATTATAAAGCCGAGAATTTAATATCTATAATTTTAATTACATTAAGATTGAAACATATTGTAGTATCAAAAGAAAAATGAATATAAATTCGATTGGTATTTCGTACTATGATATTCATTCTATGGTATGAACAAAAATATAAGAACAAATATAAACAAGGAATAAAGATAGTAAAAAAAAAAGATAGAATATAGAAAATATTGAAATTAGTGCCATCTTTAGAATGCCATAAATGAAATACATATAGATAGAAAAAAAACATAAAGATAGGATAAGATAGTTTTTAAATCAATTTTTACAAAAGATATTTGAAAAATGGCGCTAATGATCAATTATTATCCTATCTCTATTCTTTTTTTATTATTTTCAATATTTTTGTATTTCATTCACTCTAAAAATAGCCTCGATTTCAATATTTTTAATCTATTTCTATCCTTATCTTATTACTTACTTTCTTGTCTATCTGCTTTGCAAAATTTATACTTTTTAATTAACTTTGTTTTCTAAAATAAAAATACAAAAATATATATAAAATATATTATGTTATATAAAAGTAATATATATATATATATTTATAATAGAAATATATGAGTACTTATATTAAAAATTATTTTTCGATTTTCGATTTCATTCATTATACATATACACGTGTATTTAAATATACATAGATAAAATTCCTATTATATATATATATATATATATATATACCATAGAAATAAAAATCAAGCCAAATATCTTTGATTTGCAATTATTTACGAAATTATTATTTTAATCATTAACGAAATTTTTAATGTTTTTTAATTTACTTACTTTTTCTTAAAATATTCTTATTTTCTTTTTTTTTTAAGACATTTTATTTTCTGTATTTGTATTTAAAATCATTGAATCCATATTTTCTGTCACATCCATTATTTCTTCTTTTATTTCTGTCTTTATATCATCTATGTTAATTTTTGGAACACGATTTTGAAATCTTTCATGTACTAAAAATAAAATGAAATTATACATGTATATATTATATACATGTTTACAAAAAATAGAATTATATATATTAACATACTTTCTGATATTCTTAAAAGATCAAATATTTTTAAATTATGTGATTTATTATCACCACCAGCAGAAAACACAAAAGGTTCATCTGGATTTGATGCAAGACATAATAAACCACCGAGATTAGTTTTCTTTTCCCAAATAACACTTGGCTTTGTATTTTCAATAATATCCCATACTTTAATAATACCATCGTTTGCTGAAGTAACAAGAAGCCCAGGGCATGATGAACTAAATGATAAACCTAAAATTATAATATAATAAATTTGATTATTATTTATATTCAATTTATATATAATTTCATCATTCATATTTGAATTTTACATATACCCGTAACTTCTTGAGTATGAGCTTCTATATTCCAAATTGGTTTATCTTTTCTAATATCTATGTATTGTATATATCCATTAGAAGTACTAATCTAAATCAAAAATAAATAAAATAATTTTCACCACCATTTATATTTATATTTATAATATAAATTTTACTTAAATTATAAAAATTAATAAATATTATATATATTTACTATGGAATAATTAGAATCAAAAGAATTCCATAATACTTTTTCTACTTCTCCTAATGCTTCCCATGATTTTATAATTGTTTCATACCTACAGTCAAATAATCTCACTATCCTAAACAAAAAATTAAGCAAAACAAAAAATTATAAATATTTTAATATATATTTATATTAGAAATAATTAAGAAATTTTTGTTAAAAATAAATAAACATACTTATCTGCACAACCTGTTAATAATTGATGAGTTTCTATTGGATGCCATTTTAATGATTGAACTTTTTCATGAAAAGAAGTAAATTTATTAACAGGTTTTCCATTTTCTAAATCCCACAATAAAACTGATTGATCAACTGATCCACTAGCAAGAACATGTCTAAAAAAATATTTAAAAAATTGTCTCATTAATGAATATATAAAGTTCTAACTAAAATTTTTTTTAATTAATATTTGATACTAACGTATAATTTTCATTCCATGCTAAATCTAATACAGCATCTTTATGTCCAATATGTTTTCGATTTTTTTTTTTATTTGGTTTGCAACCAAGTTTATAAATTGGTTCTAAACAATCTATCAAATCTAAATCCCATACTTCTATTATAGGAGTCATATTACCAATTGCACATAAATTACCTATAATAATTAATATAATATAATAAAAAAAATATATAAATGCAAAACTTATATTTTAAATACATTATATATACTTGGTTTTGAATCTGAAGGATCAAAATTAAGCCATTCTATACATAATGGAAATGATGGTAATAATATATCATGATGACAATAAAATGAATCTTCAGGTCCATTATATACTAAAAAATATTTAAATTTATATGTTAAAAATCATTTATAAAAATTAATTTTTTTCATTAAAAAAGATAATATACAAACCAAATATTTCCAAAATGCTAGCATCTCCTTCAACATGTCCTACTAATATAAGATTATCATCACATTTAATAATATCATCTTCTTTTTCTGAATCATCATCTTCCTTTGTTATAAAGGGATCTTTACCATTTTTTTCAATAATTGCAATATTATTAATATTACAATGTATATCTCCTGCTGCATTAACATCAATATAAAAAAAAACTATAGAAATGATTATTAATATGATAAATAATATTTGTTATCTTACATTCTTCATCATATTTATCAAAATCATATTCATCTGTTTTGGATATATCAAGTTGAGAATCTATTTTATATTTTTCTTCTTTAATTTCATTATGTTCTTCATCTAAATCACTTTCAACATCTCTGAAGAAATATTTTTATTTTTAAATATAATTTCTTTTTTTAAAATTGTCACATTATAACTTTAATACTTACTGTAATTCAGATTGAGTTTGTTTTATGATTTTCTCTAATTCATTTGGAGTTAATTCAACCTAAAAATTGATGAATAAACGATCAAATATACTTAAATAAAAGAAATTTTATAAACTAAAAATATTTTAATATTCCATATTAAAATTGATTAACCTTTACAGGATTTGTTGATGCAACACCTTTTTTTACCCAAGCTATACACGGTACTATATTCATTTTAAAATTATATATTTTTTAATATTAATATTTATAATACAAATATTTATTTATTTTTTTTTTTTATAGAAAAGTTAAATACTAAAGACAATAATACACGTGGTATGCATTCTACATTACACTGCACGTGGTAAAGTATCGATACATTACATTCGACTTTACGAATTTACGAGATTGTATATTATCTCTGACTCTGAAGTTAG